TCATGTGGTGATGGCTTATTCTCAAATTTACAACCTCTTTCTCACAGAAGCCACATCGGAAGACTCTCGCTACTCTCTACTTAACTATCGTGGCAAACGTTCAGATGATCTCTATTCTTTTGATTCACTAGTTAAAGTATTTGCAGCAAGGAGTTGAATTACCCTCATTTCCTCTGTATTCCAAATTTAAGGAGAAACAAAGAGATTATTTTACTCCTGCATCGGTGCCTCCCTGAACTCCTTCATTCTTGATCTCTTCAAGAGTCAATCATTATCTTTCCTTCTTAACTTCATAATCTTCATTTCCTAACACTTCTATTTCTTTCATATCACAATCTCATTTAGCATCATCTAGACGTACCTCTATCCCGAGTGGCCCACGAATCTTGTATTGAGTAGAATTTAGTATATGAAAGGCTTTAATATTATTCTTCCACTTAATTGATCCCAATCTTTGTGAATATTTCTAACGTTCAGTGAAGAAATGTTACAATGTGAAAATAATCAACTGCAATGATTAGCCTATTCAGAGTAATGTATCCCATTCCCAAATCCGAAAGTTCCGAATTTCGAAATGTATCTAGTTCCAAGGGTTTACAGTAAAAGACGGCATAGTCAGCATCGACTGAATTGAATTGACAAAGGAGACCATATTATAAAATAGATATTTGCTGTTTAAAATAAATTATTCTTTACATTCTCAGAGTTTAAACTTAACGATAGACTTACGTATAAAGGACCACCGTCTTCACTAAATGAGCCACAGTCCTCATTTCTTGGCATCAGCAATGGGAATAAGAAACAACTAAAAAGATGCAACCGATTTGAAGTTGCTCTCTTGCTGCTGCTGATGTTGCTATTTTTTTTAACTGCTTCCGGTGCTTCCGCCATGATGTTTTTCCCCATTATTTCCCGCGAAATATTTAGTTTTAAACGCATTATTTCCAAGAAACTAAAGAAGGTTGCGCATCAATTACAGTGGCTTCAGGCAGAGCTACAATATTTCCTATTGTTGCATTGTGTTTTAGACATCCATATCTTATGTTTTATTACACATACACACACATATATCTATAAATTTATATAGATTTTGTCTCTCTTTTCGTTTTCTCATATATATATATATATTGATTTAAAACACATGCTATATGCTAATATAACACATATGCTAATATAAAATGTGCTGTAAACGTGCTCATTACTATGTAGAGCTTAAATAAACATACAAATTAGAATATATATATATATATATATATATATATATATATATATATATATATATATATATATATATATATCTGTGTGTGTGTGTGTGCGTGTATGTGTGGTGCTGAAAGTTTTCTGCCCTACCAAGAAAAAGGATTAAAAAATAAACTATGTTGTTCGGTTCTTTTGTTGTGTTTTGGAATGTGGGACAGGCTGATCATTTTTCTGCACACCCACATACATATATTCTCTCTCTCCCTCCTTATCTTTCTCTTTCATCTCTCCCCACCTCTCTCTCTCTCGCATACATACATACAAACACGCATACGAGGGAGCACTGAATATTTCTCGGCCTGACTAAGAAAACCTGCTAAAAGAATATTCTAAACATTTCCGCACCATCTTTACTTATATCAGTATATCTATTTACATTCATTCCTTTCATGCCTTTCAATATAAATGAATATACATCAGTAAGTACTTCATACGGCGTATTTAATATATGCAAAGTTATCATTTTGATCATTATAATATTGATTATCGGTTTCAACAGGACGTCGCATTCTATAATATTATAGCCAAGCTGCTAAATTGCTTTATTCATCAAATTAGAGAATTTTCATGGTAGTATGCTAAGAAAAGTATTGCTATGACGTGCTGTTTTTGCTCTTTAACATTATAACAAAGAGAAATCGAGATATTACAATACCGACATGTATTGATATTATCATTGATGACAGTATAGTGATAAATTATCTGTGTTAGAATATTAAAAATATTGATCAACTGAACAAATATTAATTTTAATTAATTTTGATGACCACTTTGCAAATATGAAAAAGCAAAAAGTATATTTATCTATAAATAAGGAAACCTATTCTATAGATAGTTTTTTTAAAAAATATGTCTGGTGTTATCACCTTTAAGAAATTGGATCATTTGGAGTGAGAGCGATCATAGACACCAAATTATTTTCATCTGCTAATTTGTTTTGAAGTTAGAGCTTTTTAAATATATTAACAAAAGTTTCCGATATTTTATGAGAATATATTTATAGATATCAATATATTATTATGCAAACAATTATCTTTAATTAAAAAAAATGACGACATGTGTGATATAAATGTTGGAGAAGGTAGTAGAAAATGAAGTTTACGAGGATAAGGAGGATAGATAACAACTGATCCTGAACTTCAGGGAAACGCCCACGCCGAAGTTTGTTCTACCGAAGTTTTATGACTACAAAACCCAGCTAGTAATATTCCATCATTACCAACACACCCTGAATTTTCTCCAGTTACGAAGAGTGACTGTATTTTCAATAGGGCTCTTTGCCTAGAACATCTATTGGAACTAAATTTCACCTTAGATCTCAAGTGAAACTCAGATAGTACTAAATATTCTGGAAAAATGATTGGTTTCATGTGCCTCTCTAGAAAGTACCTGACTACTGCTTGAATGTTCTATTTATAAAAAACATCAGATAAGACAAAAAAAAAAAAATGGGTTACTGCCGCCATATCAGGGAAGGAGCTTCCCTGTCCTCACATCGCAAACTTAACAGAGTTCAAAAGCGTTTAGACGTTATTGTAGGCAATAAATTATTTTCAACGTTACAATCTCTTTCCCATAGGCGAAATGTCGCAAGACTGACTAATCTATCGCTATTTCCATGTTCAGATGAGCTATTTTTCTTAATACCACCATGTCAGACCTTTCTGCCATGACACGTACACAGGGTCGAATCGTTCCCATTCTTTTCGTGATCAATTGGTAAGAAAGAAGTTCTTCTCTAATAACTTATTTGCGAGAAACGCTATATTACGAATCAGACTTAAAAGAGGATGTTTCCTCGACTCTTCCAATCTTAACCTAATCAAATCTAATGTCAACCTTTATCTATATTGCATATGTCCTTACTTCTTCTTCTTACTTCCATACAACAACCTCATTTAGTAACTGTTGAAACTTGACTAATGCATGGAATAATAATGCAACACAAAATGTACTTAGAACAAAATGTATTGAAACAAGAAAGTGTACACAATATTTACATATAGTCTTTTGTATATTCCTGGTAAGACCGTTCCTGGAGAATGGGTTGACTTAGTCGCAGTCGGGCAGAGTCTCTGGTTGAATCTCTTGATTCCTCTCTCTCTTCCCGGTACCAACCATATTTATATGGTCGGTACTCCACTATGCAAATTAGGTGGATCCTACCACAACAGTAACCTCATAACTTGACTATTTAAAAAGCCTTATATTTCATTTAATAAAATGAATATATATAATACCGGACTTTTATAAACCTCTAATTAATACAACATATTTTACGAAAACAGGTATTTAGTGCCAGGTTTTTATTTATATAATTAAAAATGGATTTTATGGTGAGCTGTTTCATTGGATCCATTGGAATCTTAAAATCTTAAAGAATGTCACGTTTTTCTATTCTGTAGCCTTTATTTTTAGATGTTTGACAAACATAGTTGTTTGCATATTTTCCAGTCGAACACCATTCCTATCCAATCATACTTACCTTTTTATTCGCTTTCATTTTATTTGCCATATATGATGGACAATTTCACTTTATCGCTACACAGGAGCACCATTAGATATTCGACTGACATCTGTCTATTTGTGAGCTTACTGCCATATGATGTTGAAACACTGGTTCTCTTACGATCACCAAAGGTAACTAGCATCGAGCATAGTCAGTACCTAGACGGGTGACCGCTTGGGAATAGCAGATGTTGTATGGGTGGTTGGTATAATGGAGAATGACTCGTAATTGTTAATTGGAGATCCGAGTTCCAATTCCAGTCGGTTTCGTTATATGCACTTACGCGTAAATATAATTGGAAAAGGTATGGATCCATCCCATCTCCCCCAGCTATGGATTAATTAGTAGAACTCGTATCAATAAATCATTATTGCCTCCAAAAATTCTTACAATCCCAAAATATTTGTTTAATTTATATAAGGTGTAAAAAGTTGATAAGCCGTAAAAACAAATGAAGCAATCTATTTGGGTTTTAGCATTCGTCGTGACTATTATATTTTTCGGTATTTCATGAGTTTTGTGAAGGATCCAGGTGATAAATTTGGTAATTATATCTTTAATTATATTGTTTCATTAACTATCTTGATTTACTATTTTTGCATTTAAAAAGGATGACGTCATTATTTAATTTTTTTTTTTTTTTTGGTAATCGTCATCGTGGTGATGGTAGTAAACCTGGTTTTATCATCGTCTTCATCATATTGCATATCCATAATCGCTTATTATTTCATTTTAATTTCGCGGTTTTATTTGTATTTTTAATCTGAGTCTTATGGAGTTTTTTCCCGGGAAAAATAATCCTGCTTTCCGATGTGTTTTACTTTGTTTTATAGTTGTAAGTTATCCAGTTCTTTCTATCTCTCCTATCGTTACCTGTTTTTATATCAACCGATCGCATTCGACTGTATTTCCCAGAATTCATTCTTCCCGTTCTACTTTCACATGTAACCCCGCGTTGCCACTGCCGCAGTCGCCATTTTTGCTCTCAAACATCGCCTCCACCATCTTTCAAATGCCGTCGGTGATATTTGAAACATTGAATTAATCAGTACAACACAATTAATTAAAAAAATGAAATAAGTTAAAAGAAAATGGGAAATAAATGGAAAGAGTAGAATAAGTATTAAAAACTAAAAAACTAAAAAGCAGAATGTAAGGAAATGGAGTTAAAAAATACGTAAGATTGAAGTGATTTTCAAAAGTCGTTGGCACAAAAATGTAATGGAAAGAGCTAAAAATAGAAATGAACAAAGTAGAAAGTAAAAGTGAAAGTGAACGTGAAATCATGCGATACGGTAAGAAAGGATATGTAAGTGATAACCAGATATTCTTTCAATGGAGAAAAAGAAGGAATAATGAGAACAGAAGTAATGGGAGGAAGAAAGATGAAATGAAAGAAGGAGTAAAAAAAGGTAGAAGAAATGTAAGAAAGAAGGAGGAAAATAGAAGTATAAATGAAAAAAAAAAAAACAGGAAGAAGCAAATAACCACAAAAAAGAGCGAAGAATAAGTACGAGAAACAAAAAGATAAAAAGAAATAAGCAAGACGATAGCAAAACACAAAAAGTAAAAAAGTAAAAGATAAGGAAGAAAAATATGAATGAAGGAAAATCATTAAAGAAAAAAGGAAAGAAGAGAAAAAATATTGTCTGAAAGAAAGAAGGAACGATAAAGAAAATAAGAAAATATAAAAATGAAAAGAAAAGAAAGTGAATGAAGAAAGGAGAAAAGAATAATTAAAAAGAACATTAATACAGACAAGAAAAGAAGAAAAGAAAGAAATAATGAATCATATCAAGGAAAGAAAAAAAGTAACGAAGAGAGAAATAACAGAAGAAAAGAAAAGAAAGAGAGATATGAAGTGAGTGAAAACGACTTAAAAAAGAGAGAATATACTCCAGGAATAAGACCCATATAAACAAAGAGGAAAGAACAAGAGAAATAACTAAAGAAAGAAAGAAAGAAAGAAAGAAAGAAAGAAAGAAAGAAAGAAAAAGTTTAAAATGGAGAAAACCACTGAAAAAGAGAAAAAATAAGAATCATAATAGTAAGAACGAAAGAAGAAAGTTAGCAAAAGAGAAATATTAGAAGAAAGAAAGAAAGAAAGAAAGAAAGGAAAAGTTGTAAATAATTAGAAAGAAAGAAACAGAAAAAAAAAGAAAAACCTAGAAATATGTTACATAAAAAAGAAATAAGGTAAGAAGAAAAATAAAAGAAAGAAAGAATGAAAGAAAGAAAGTGATTGGGAAAAGAAGAAGCAAGAACAATTAGTTCAATGGAAAAGAAGAAAAGAAAGAATAAAGTAAAAACTAATTAATAAAAAAATTAAAACTAAAAACAGTGAAGAGAGAGAGAGAGAGAGAGAGAGAGAGAGAGAGAGAGAGAGAGAAAAGAATTAATCCAACAAAAACTTTATGAATATCAGAAAAATAGTCGATATTTTCCCATTTAGATAATTGGCGGCGCACAATCTTTCTGTTCCTATATAATACTATGAACGGTAAAGGTCTTTGTATCTTCTAGTGGTTGAAGTGGTTTCGTATTTCCTACACAGTCAATCGAGTTAAGATAAAAGCTAGGGTTTGTAATGGCGATTTTGAAGTTACTTGTAAATTTGACGCAACATAATCTTCTTATTACCTATTTCTTTCTAATCTCTGTAGATATACAAAAAAAAAAAAACAAAAACGAAGAGAAGAAGCTGACTACACAGACAACCGGTTTCTATAGTAAGCACGATTCATAATATGCGCCCTTACCTGATAGACTTTGGCTATTGGTTAGTATTCAATTAAACATAAACTTACAGTATTCACAATCTGATTTTTCGAACTTTGTTGTTTTGAAAATTGGCGTTGCACATAGATGTACCAATAATTTCAATACATTTCGTCTTGTGACAGTTTAATAAAAACACAGTAAACATCTTAAGGCAAAATAAATGTGATATTTACGTATTTTGATCAAAAGAAATATTCCAATTGGAATTAAAATTCTAAAACACTCTACCAGAGAAAATAATAAAATTTAATCAAATATAAGAGAAATGCAAAGCATTTAAAACCCTCACTTTTAAAGTGATGATAAACGAGCTACTCTCGCACACCATTCTCTACCATAATCATTTCCAGCTGCACAAGGTGTGCCCATCCGCTCAAGGGATACATCCTTATTATATGTAGCCGAGGCCTGCACTGTAGCTAAAATGGCTGCGTATTTCCTACTAATGTCAGGTCCCCACCATTTGCAAGAATGGGACAACACAATTATCTTAGCCGCATTTCACCCAATCGACCCTTGTTATGAGGTAAATAGATATAAACACTCATTCGGTAAAAGCACATCAGGCTACATGACGGTTCCGTATAGGATACAGGTTCGATTTATGTCGGAGGACGCATATTTTCTATGAAAATTTCTCGGACATTCAGGCCGGTAAATGTCGTTAATACTGTTTATTATAAACAGAGCATTTACTTAAATATTTGTATCTATAAAAAGAACGTATAAAGATAAAAAAAAATGTCTTAAAACCCTTGAATGTACATTAAGTTATGGCAATATATTCGACAGTGTCAATTGACGTCACATGCATGTGATGGAACATCGGAAAGACTAGTTCAGTTAACTGAAAACAAAGCGTGATCTGATCACGTACGTTAAAGTATACGTATTATTAACGAAGACTGCATGTAAAAGAAGTTATCCGGCCAAGTCAGAATCCATCGAAGGTATTAATCGGGGAATTTGACCTTTAGCCATTCCGTCAGTCTTCAACAGCCAATTGTAGCAGACAGAACAAAGCAGAGTCATGTTCGTATTAACGTCTGCAGATATTTGTTTTATATTTTTCATCCTGTACAAGGCACAGAAGCCACTCGAGATACAGGGTTACAGTATAAGAGGCAAGTGACATAAGAGGTATGTAACTCCAGACTTGAATAGGTTAAGATTGTAACGATTAGAGAAACACCCTCTTGGGAGTTGGTTCCACAAAGTAGCGGTGTTGTGGGAAGAAGCTTTTCGGGAGGAACTTACATCTCACCAATGGAATATGAATGGAGTGAGGGCGGTTCGCTACAATGTACGTGACATTGTGGGTTATAGCTGTAAAGGTTTGAACAAATGACACGAGGGAATTTAATGTGAGTAATATTTAATTTGGGTTTTAATATTTTAGATGATTTGTGGGATGACATCTCATGCATTTTTAATCTGTCTTTATCTAACAAAAAAAAATATGAATAAAGTATCCGTGCGCTCTCTCAAGAATCAGAATAAACACGCGGTCCTCTACCTAGGAACCGTGTATTATCTGAGCATTCTGTCTAGGATCAAAATGTCGCTCTCCAGTATATCTACATATGATCTGAAATTAGTACTTATGATCTTTCTGGAAACTATTTTCCACAAATATATATTTGGAGTAAATACCTTAACAGCCACTGCAGTATTGGCAATGTCTATTAAGAATATGAGACGAAATGAAAAGAAAAAAAAAGATTCACTTTGACTCCATCAAATTAACGTCGGCCAAATCGAAGGTATGTGGATTCAGGTCATTCCCGGATGTTCGATCTTTTTTACGAGTGTGTTAGATATTCTTCTTTTCTCGTAGGTCGGAAATTTATATAACTTCCTGTCATCCGATTGTCTTATGTGTGTATAACTTCAGCGGAGTTCACATCTTTGTTTATGTTAGTATGTCTGCTGACATCCTTCAAATCCCAATTCTGCACTTGATTGGCTCCTTGATCTTTTGATTTTCTGTGATGACACCGAGAAAACGTTTGCTTTTCGGATGACCACAAAGAACAAAACTGTCTGATGGAAATTAAATTCAATTCAGACTTCTGCTGTTTCTTCACTTGAATCCCATACTACGTCACAGAGAAGAAAAAACAAAACGAGGCGTAAAAGGAAAAATACATAAACAGATGAACCGCCATTAGCAGTACAAATTTGCACACTTTCATGAAAACTTTGAAGAGCCCTTTAACATATCTGAGGAGTTACAGAACTTGCTTGTTCTTCAGTTAAATTCTTTAAATCTTGAAGTGTTTAGAGTTTCTGTTTGTAAACTGCATCCTTAATATAACTCCAGACGAAAAGATCTAAAGTTATGTTATCTAGGCACTTTGCTGCAAAAATCACTGGTCCCATTCTTTATAGCTATTGATTTGGTAATTTTTTATCCGAAAACCTTTAAACAACACCTGAGTAATGAACAGGTGCTGGAAAGTTGTGAGAAAAAGCAATTCACAAGATTCTACAGATATATCTATGTGTGTGCGTGCGTGCGTGTGTGTGTGCGTGCGTGTGTGCACGTGTGCGTGTGCTCGCGCGTGTGTTCATGTGTGCAAACTAAGATTTTATTTCTTTCGTTATGTAACGATGATGGAAGTATTTAAGGGCAAAATCTTTAACATGTACAATACAAATGCAAAATTTTATCACTGTGTTAAAAAACAATTTTTGAGAAATTAATGATGGCGTTTCATAATCAAGTTTACATAAAAATTCTATTTCTACTACATCATTAGGTGCGTTTGAGACATAAATTGCTTGTCAAGGCGGTTTCTTTGTATAAATATTAGTAAGCAAGAATCACACGCAGAGACAATAAATGGACATAAGAATGAACACTAGTCACTCTCACGTTTCAGTAAAGTCTTCAGGCCATTTCATTATAAACGCTCAGTGTTCAATATTGTTTAGCATAAAGATAACACACACATACACACACACACAATGAAAAATGAATTGAAAAATGAGGAGAGAAAAAAGATTTTCGGCTGAAATGAAAGATAGGAAACAATTTATATTTTTCGTTTCTTAAAGCACAACTATGAAAAGGACAAATCGTGAGAGAAAGTGTTTGCAAAGCGTAAAAAAGATGCAAAACGGGGAGGAAAATAACAGAGAGAAAAAGAAAGAAAAAAAAACCTGTATGAATTTACATAGTAATATAAAACACAATGTCGGGGATAATGAAGAAAGTGAAAACTTTAAAGAGTTTAAAAGGAAAGAAAGTCAATCAGTCAAAAGAGATGAACAAAAATGAAGATTGTCCCAGAGGATTAGTCAGAAGCAGACGAGACTTTCTGCATGTCTTTATCTGTCACTTATGTATACGCGTCTTCATAATATTATGTGAGCGAGACAAGTACATTAGACTGAGGCGTGTATATGTGGCTACCTTTGCTTGTCTAAGTGAGGGAGATGAAGCGGTTTTTGGCGCGGTAGCCAATTCTTGACTGATAGCATCTGTTATCTGGCAGACGACGCCATCATTAATTTTTATGCGTGTGGCACAAGTGAATATTTAAATAAGTTGTGACGTAAAATGAGGTGAGTGTACTGAGCACGTCCGTCCCGAGGAGAGAAGGCGGAACTCCGGGCGATCGACTAAGTAACGCTGTCCTTCATTGATCGATACCATTAAAAATCAATTCACAATCCTGATTGAATTTCCATTCAATCAAATCGAACTTAGGTGCGACTCATTTTTATTCGACGATTCTATATATATATATATATATATATATATATATATATATATATACCTACCTACATAGCAATCGAACAAAAGATATTATAAACTCATAGTTATGCTCCAAGTCTTGTTTTTTTTACCTCTTGGCAGGATAATACATTTCAGTCTGTCGAATAGTATATTCTATACATATGTAGAAGATGCTGAAAAGTTATCAGCCTAACTTAGCCGACCTTCCCCCAAAATCTGAGGATTTGTTTTTACCTGTATAATTGTCTAATTATCTTTTTTCTTTTTTATATATATATATATATATATATATATATATATATATATATATATATATATATATATATATTTGTATTTAGGCAGCAAATTCTCTTTTAAACATGTCTGATTGAATAAATTACAGACATTATGTCTGCTAATTTTTTATTTAAAATCCGTCCATACTCACGCTTAACCTTCCGTGTATTGATGTTAAAGGACAAGAGAAATGTGCTATAGCTCATTAAATTTCCTTTATTTTAATTTCACGAGTACTTTCGATCTTTTTCCAAAATCATCTTAAGGGGTGCAAGTGGTACAAAACTACTATATGTTAAAATTAAAAAGTATAAACATTTATATTATATATTTCGCCTTGTTTTAATGTTCTTGGTTTTTTCATTTTTTTTATTTCATATTTTTCCTCGGGTACCGATTTGTTCTACATGTTCTCATTTTGTTCTATATATATATATATATATATATATATATATATGTGTGTGTGTGTGTGTGTGTGTGTGTGTGTGTGAAAAGTGTATATAAATATAAATAAATATATATATGTATAATTATTTATATATTATATGCGGGTACTTATTAGAAAGCGCTCAATATCAGAGATAGAGCTAACATATTTGGTTGGATAGATGTGAGTTTGTGACCCTGGGTTTCACGCTTTTAGCGATCGTCAGACAAACTGATTAATGTTTTAAAAATTTGGGTTTATATAGATTGCGTGTATTGTTGTTTTTGGAAGTGGTGGGGAATTTCGTCGTTTTGTCATTCATCGTACTAACGCAAACATCGATATATGCGAACACATATCATACTTGGTCGTCCGTCGGGACTCATACATATATAAACGTATGTGGGCAGTTTCGGCTATGACACATGTATGTATACGGGTGGTGTTATGTCTGTACATACGCATTTGTATTTTGAAATGTTGAAATTTAAACATTGGAAGTGTGGCGGAAATGTCACGTTAGTGTCTCGTGACTGTATACATGTCATATTATCTATATATATATTTTTTTTCGCTGAAAATATGTATGAATATAGATATGTATTGCTAGTATTACTAAAACAAACGTTATAATTAGTGAATACACGTCTTCGAGATGCCATTTTTGTCATTTAAAACGATAAAATTAATAGCAACCGGCCTATATATCGAGCAGTTTTAAAGAAGATGTGCCTCCAAATAGGAATCGAGCGTATATTCAGTGTTCCATCAGTTAAACTATATTTAAGCTAAATCTACCTTATCAGTCTATGCGAAACCATCATGCTAAATCAAGTTTCGATTGCCTATTTAAGAAATACACATCTTTGGCAGGATCTTTTCATCTGCGAAACAAAAAACAAAAATTTTGACAATTTTTTTTTCAATCTGATATTACTTATTATTATTATTATTATTGTTATATTCAGTCGAGACATGTGTCTGAGAAGACATCCTTTCCTAGAATGATTTTAAACAAAGATCTCGGAACGAGATATCAAATATTTTATGTAAGCGTTCACTCTAAACAATTGATTGGACGATCTTTGCGGTATGAATTTGATATTTTCTCCATTTTAACCATTGCAACAATCTCCTTTTCATCCTTTCCTTCACAACCCTACAAATTCCTACGTCCTTAAACTTACTTTTTCTGGTGTCAGAGTCTTTTAAAACCTATTTCATTCAAAATGTAAATTTCAATAATTTTTGTTTGTTTATTTTTTAAATATATTTCTATTGGTTTTGCTTTACTTTTTAGGCGAAATTTTATTCGTTTTAAGTTGAGATTGATCTTTTTTTTTCGATTCATGTAAAGTCGAATCAGTTGTCGTTTGATAAAGAACACAAACAAAGAATCAAATAAAGACAAAGGAATTCAAAAGGAGTCAAGAGAATGTGTGAAGTTGAGGGAAAAAAAGGTTTTAAGAACGAGGGATAAAAAAAAGGGGAAGGCAAAGGGAATTTAAGTACAAGAAAGAAAGGATGGATTAAAATGTTAATAGAAATTATCAAAAGGTATTTCAATAAAAAAAAAGAAATTAATGCAATATATATATATATATATATATATATATATATATATATATATATATATATATATATATATATGTGTGTGTGTGTGTGTGTGTGTGGGCATTGAAGTCAACAGTCTGATACGAAGCGACTGTCTGTTTCTAACTAAACTTAATCGCCAGGCCTGATGTCTGCGTTTAACAAAGTCAAATCTGTGACTGTTTATATTAAGACTTTGGAAGGTTTTTAAATAAATGAACACACAGACCGATTGTGACACTATTTAGGGTTGCGTGGAAAAAAAAAAAAAAAAAAAAAGGCGAGAATTAAAATTAGGTGATAAGAATCTATCACGAAGAGACGATGTTATTTTTTTTTAACAAAGAAAAGTGCTAAAGGTTTTATTTTCGTTAGTGAGGAAAGTAAGGTCGCGGATGTGTCGGATTTGATTTGATTTATGACGGCGCACCGAGTGGACGGTGACAGTCTGCCCATGGCAATGGTAAAAATTTCAGGTCGGTCAAGTGGCCTACGAAACAGAAACTGGGAGATAATGATAATTAGATCATGCTCTGACCGAAACCAAAATGTCCGTTGGACCACCCCCATATCATTTGGAAAAAGACACCTGTTTTATGTCGAAGCTGGCCACGATAGGAAAATTATTTTATCAGAACGAATAATTGACTGGAATGTGGATATCGCCGGATGACCACCCACTTGTTTGGCGAATGTCCCGAGTGATGAATCCCAGGTGACATTCAGGATAAAATTGAGATTAAGAGACCACACTACGGGTCGTATTGGGTCGTTGTCGGGCAGAAGAAAGGAAAGAAAAGAAAGAAAGAAAAGAAAGGAAGAAAAAAAGGAAGATAATTTTTTTTTTCTTTGAGCAAGTTTTTTTAAAAACCGAGGCCAGTCTGGCCACATCCACACTGATGGGCGGCCATTGGCTGAATGGTGGCGTGAGCGGCAGGCGAAGGTAATAATGTGAAGAAGGAGGGGAGGCCTGTTAATGCCCCCCTGAAGAGATCGGTGTGAGATGCCACTGTGAGAGAGAGGGAAAACCCGTTGACACCCTCTGAGGGTATGGGTGAGATACCAAAATGAGAAAGGAAGAATTGGGGAGGACGAAAGACTTCCAAAAATGGAAATAATAATTCTTCCTGACCGAAAACAAAGAAAAACCTTTAATAGAATTTAGAATTATCAAGGAACCTCAAACCCCGACAGGCCCACCCCGGTTCTGGTTGGCGTCCATATAAGCAGTTGAGTTGAGTTCGCAGTTCGCAGCTGAGCAGTTGGGTTGGAGTTGCAGAGTGAGACCCGCCTTGCAGGAACCTGACTGAAATATCCCACGCAATCTAGACCTCAACTTCTAACCAAGAACAATTTATTTTTGAAGAACGACTTAGACTCACACCACCAAAACAAATTTTACGAATATCGCCAGAAGATACACCAAGAACCAGTTTCTTAAAGAACAAACAACTTAAGATGTTAAGACTCACCTAACAAACACAAAGTGTCACGAATCCATATAAGCGGGTTGGGAGGAAGACGCAGTCCTGTATTCAGCAACCAGATATAAAATATTGTTATCCTTTTTTAACACATTTGAACTTTTCGAGTTATTACTTTTTCTTTTACATATACTTGTGCGGTATTGCCCTTGTTCGGACTCGACTTGCATTACGGCCCGGCGACTGATTGATTTCGTCTGCCTAAGATCAAATCACAACGTGGGTAGGTTGGACTAGAAATCAAAACAGTTACTTCGGTAACCAGACGTTGGAGGCGAGCTGGGAACGACAATGCTGATACCGAATCTAACCAGATTCCCATCCGAATCAGCAAAGGGTTAGAACGTCATACGATTCTGAGTGGAAGAAGCCTATCTAACGAAGGTAAAACACGTTGTCAACAATTTTTTTTTTACTTTGTCGGATATATATATATATATATATTGAACGTACTTGAATAAAAACAAATAGGAACTTCATACAATTTATTCAATATTTTGATCCTGATATACAAGTTTGAAATTTTAAAAAAAATCAGAAAGTGACATGGAATATATATATATATATATATATATATATATATATATATATATATATATATATAATAAGAGAGAAAACGCAAAAAGTTTTTTTGTTGTAATGTGGATTTTAAAAAAAATATATATTATGCTTTATTTTCCATAATTTTGCTACACGCGTTTCCGGACTCAATGACCTTCATCAAGCCTAGCGTGTAGATTTCCACATATTATTCAAAATAATTAATTTTTTCTTACGTTTTTCGATGTTAAATATTCTCGATATGAGACATTCTAGAGAATGAAACAGCTGTCCCCTCTGAGTGTTGACTTCAATGTTCACTTTTATATTTACATACGCCCTGTCTCTGATATTGAGCACTTTATTCCATAAATATAGCACACCTTAAGACTATATTTCTTCATATATATATATATATATATATATATATATGTACACATACGGGTATAGATGGATAGATATTTTATGTCGAATAAGTACTTGGATTACTACCACACACAAAAGACAATGGTTAACATAAGAAAAAAACTAATTCCTTTAAATAATCTGTGGAAATAACATTCTTTGCCTGATGAAACACGTGTAGCAAAAAATATGGAAAAATGAAGTATAATATATAAAACATCCTCACAATGAATAAAAACGTTTGCATCTTGTCTTTTTCCTTAATATATATATATATATATATATATATATATATATATATATATATATATATATATATATATATGTGTGTGTGTGTGTGTGTGTGTATTTATATATGCGTCTGGGGGAGAGAGCGAAAGCGAGTGAATGGGAGAAAGAATATGTTACCCTGATAAAAATGTTCGATTTTATGATTGAATAACTGATGGAAACTAATGTGGTGACATTCAGACGTACCAGAAACCGTGGACAGAAATATTCAAGCATCCTACACATATCTAAGCAGAGCCATTTCACTTCTCTGAAGTAACAAGACTAATATTCAGGGCAACAACCACACAGGCTGACAAAATCGAATTATCATTTGTCCATTTAACAAATTCAATTTTCTTTTTTATTTTATTTTCCTTCTTTATTTTCAGACGAAGGTAAAATTTATGTAGTCGACTTTTCAAACGAAATAGCAACTTCGTTAATGTTTATCTAAACGTTTAATATATATCTATATATATTTGTACTTTAGCGCTATCGAATATTTCGCTGGAGTTTTCATATTAATATTTTTGTCAATTTCTTTTTCTTGATATATTTACGACTCTATCTGTCGCGTTTTCCTCTTCCCAGAAAAGAGATCGACAAAAGTTCCAGCAATTTCTCCCGAGAAAAATTGTTATAAGTTCATCTTTGTTCTATAAGAGCGTTCACAAATATTTGCTAGCATGCACAGCCGATTAAAAACAACAGTTCAACAGTTTTGTTCTCGTTTGAAATATTTTTCTTTCTGGTAAACGTAAAATTGCAGACCTGTATGTAATTTTTAAATACAATTCTTCAAAACGACACATAAAAACATGGTGAATATAACACAAGAAATATAACGGAGAGAGGAATAAGAATACTGTGTAGCGCCAGAGCCTGAAAAAGACTTTTTTGCACTAAAAATTAGTATTTGATGTTGATTTACCAAGGATCAACCATCGACCAAGAGCACTGGACGAAAAATAAGCAAATATTTCAGTTGCGTGTCATATATATATATATATATATATATATATATATATATATATATATATATATATATATATATATATATATATATATATATATATATATAATGCATTAAAGTTTAATGGTTAGAGTTGACTCAGACCAGGACGCAGTGCTATTAAAAAGTGTTCAATACACGTGTACATGACATTTCTGGATCCAAAGAACCATTTGAACAAGAAACAACTAGAATTAGAACTCGGCTCTCCGTTTAACAATTCCGAGCCATTATCCATTACACGACTCGCACATCCAAGCTTACAACATCTGGTATTTCCCAAGCGGTCACCCATCTAGGTACTGATCAGGCTCAACATCGCTTAACTTCGGTGATCGTAACGATACTGGTGTTTCAACGTGATCTGGCCGTAAGCAACATGCGACAAATAATGAAGTTTTAAGGAAAACAGAAAACTACAAATAGCAGGTTACTGACAATTAGAAATAGATCGGTGAAATTCTGGGGAAACATAATAAGTAAAGGAGGCATGGAGAATTTAACACTCACAGGGCATATCAAAAGCAAGCGCGGCAAATAGAAAGGGTGGGGCTGATATTAGGAGAAAGTTGTGCTGAAAAAAGACATCCCTGACCGTTCACATCCAGACGGGACGCGTTGCATAAAAAAAAGAAAAAAATTCATGGGTTGTTGCTATAATGTTATTCACTTGGTTCAGCATAGATAAAAAAAAACAACAACATTTCAAGAATATTTAACCCTTTGAGCCTGGCCACTACTTTACCTGTAGTAGAAAAAGAATGACGTAATGCCCAACCACCGGTTGAATGGTGGTAGAGAAAAATGACTTAATGCCCAGCCACCGGTTGAACGGTGGAAGAGAAAAATGACTTAATGCCCAGCCACCGATTGAACGGTGGGTAAACACTTGTAATTATTCTTATATCTACCGTGAAACATTACATACCAATTATTTGGGAGTTTTAACTCAGGTGATCAGGTAGAAAGGTTAAAATTGTTCAGAAACGCAGTGCTTAAAGGGTTAAGTTTGTATCAATCAGATTTTACAACATTAATTTATAACATAAGCCACTTTTTCTTTTATATGGCATCAAATCTATCCGTCAATGATTGAGCGAAGTTAAAAAATTTAAGGATTTTCAATGCAGATTTTTAAAGCAGCTAGGCTCTCTCCATTGGGGAATCTAAAACAACACCTTTCTATTCTCGTTTGGCTTAGGGTCGTTTTCAAGTAAATTTAACGTTAATGAAAAGATGCTGGTTTAGAAAGTAGAATTTTATATCAGATCATCCTCCCCCATTTTTAAGATCAGAGCTTCACAATCTTCCACATTTTAAGTAGTGTAGCCTCAATAAATATTAAGATAATCGTTTTTTCACTTGAATATCGATTACGGATTGATTCGTAATCTCCGGACATCGTTAAATATTGATATACACGCAGTTAGAAGAAAGTAATTGAACAAAGTGAATTGTTTTTCCCTCTCTTGTGCTGCAATGAGCTATCTTAAAAAAAAACATTAAGGTTTTATATTTAGATACCAGAAAGAAAATGGCGTAAAAATTTTTCTCTCCACTACAGAATGAGGAGTTCAGATGACCTGTAATTAGTGCTATTTTAATCACTAAACTAATTTAATTCTGGACTTTGATCGTTCACCTTTATTTTCTTGACTTCCGAAGCTTTTCCAACTTTCTCAGCACACAAACGATACATAACAATTTTGTGAAATAAGAAGTCATTTTTTCCCAAATTAAAAGACTGATTCATTTGGAATTTATGACGTATGTACGAATACCTTTATCCAAACAAAGATTTTAATGGCTTACTGATGGAATAGATAAGTTCCGTAAGCCAGGAAAAATAATAAAATGGCTGGTTTAAAATGAGACCTAATGACAGATATGCTTGCGTTGTAATTCTGAGCAGGTAGTCTTTTACAAATGTAGATATGCCAAACTGATTCACATAAAGAATTGTCTTACAGTCCTGATATCAATAGCTTATTAAAATGCCAAATATTTTCATTCATGAAGGAACATTTCTTTTATTCTTTCGCATAAATGTGAACTATCCTAATTAGTAAAATGAAATATTGATGATAGAAAGTTATGGCTT